GGCAATCCACTCACCTCAGCCTCCCAAAGGCGCGGGATTACAGGCTGTGTCACCGAGCCCGGCTATTTTTTTTATTTTAAAAGCTGCTTTTTGGCCAGACGTGGTGACTCAAGCCTGTAATCTCAGCATTTTGGGGTTGAGGCAAGAGGATTGCCTGAGCCCAGGGTTCAAGACCAGCCCAGGCAACTTGGTGAGACCTCGTCTCTGCAATAAATAAAAAAATTAACTGGTCATGGCAGCGCATGCCTGTAGTTCCAGCTACTTGGAGGCTGAAGCGGAAGGATTGCCTGAGCCCAGCAATTCGACACTGGGGTGACCATGAACGTGCCACTGAACTCCAGCTCAGGCAATGGAGTAAGACTCCAGCTCAAAAAAAAAAGTTGATTTTTACCTTATATTTTACATTATCAGTTTTCTATTACATTTTTTTGTGTGTTTTAAGTTTAGTAACTATGTACTGATACTCAATTATTAGCAAGTTCTTGTATTTATTCACTTTCGTTAGTTTTTTCTACAGTAACAACAAAGGTGCATGTCCTGGTGGGTGATGTCAGCTGTTGATTGGCTGTGGCATTGCTCCATGTCATCTTCACTTCACGGTCAAAGCTGAAGGAACAACCTTTTTTTAGGACACTGACGTTTTTATGGCACAAGGTGGAGATAATATGCATTTTAGTTGCCTCTTACAAGATACCTGTATCATTTTTGCCTTAAGGAGGTCATATGACCAAGCCTAGCATCATGGTGCCAAAAGTATAGCCTTATTGTTTACCTAAATCATGATGTATCAACTGACACAGGTTCATGAATTGTAGAAACATAGAGATAATCTCATTCAATATCCTAGGATTTGCATGAAGACTCAGACCTCGGAGAGGAAAATGGTTTTCTTGGTGTTGCCTACCTCTTTTCAGTAGGATTCATCTTTTTTATTTGTGTGAATGTATTACAAATGAGAAGAAAGATGTGGGATGGCTCAGTTTCATTACTATCTCCGTGTATTCCAAAGTAAAACACATGCCAAAAGTAACTGCATTTTACCACCAAATTCAGATAAATGCTCCCACAAAGTACTACTGTATCCAGCAAAGTACTACTACCATATACAGAAAGAACAGAAAAATCACTTCTATTTTTTTCTTTGTCCCTTTTCTATTCTAAGTATCCTGGTCATGTTTAGTGGCTTTAGGTTTACTAAAAGGAATAAACTCAGAATGCTAAAAAAATAAAGTAAAATAAAGTAAAGAAATAAAATTAGCTGGGCTCGGTGGCTCAGCCTGTAATCCCGTGTTTTGGGAGGCCGAGGTGAGTGGATTGCCTGAGCCCGCGATTCGAGACCTGCCTGGGCAACTTGGCGAAACCTCATCTCTACAATAAATCAAAAAATTAGCCGGGCGTGGTGGCGCGCGCCTGTAGTTCCGGCTACTTGGAAGGCTGAGGCGGAAGGATTGCCGGAGCCCAGCAGGTCAAGGCTGTGGTGGCCGGGAGCAGCCACTGCACTCCAGTCTGGGCAACAGAGTGAGACTCCAACTCAAAATAAATAAATAAATAAATAAATAAAATTAAAAAGTTTGTTGAATGACTCTCAATATGGACTTCAATGTCAGAAGGGAACAGACACTATCTTTTCTCCCAATTTGTTATTTTGACCCTACTGATATGCTACAACATGATGAAACCTGAAAACATCATGCTAAGTGAATGAAGCTAGCTAGTCCTAAAGGACCATATATGATAGGATTCTATTGATATCAAATGTCCAGAATTGATAAACTCATGGAGATGACTTAGAGTAGATTAGGGGTTGCCTAAGTTTGAGTGGGCTGGGTAGAAAAAGGGAGTGCTTCCGAGTAGGTATTGGGTTTCTCTGTGAGGTAATGAAGATGTTTAAAAAGGATTGTGTTTCACAACACTGTGGATGTACTAAAAACCATAGAGTTGTACACTTTAAATAGGTGGCCAGGCATGGTGGCATGTGCCTGTAATCCCAGCCATTTGGGAGACTGAGGTGGGAGGAATTTGAGACCAGCCTGGGCAACAAAGTGAGATGTCCCTCTGAAAAATAAAAAGAATACATGGGTGACTTGTATATATAAATTATATCTCAATAGAACTTATTTTTTTTTAAGCCGGAGTCTCACCCTGTTGCCAAGGCTAAAGTACCGTGGCACAATCATGGCTCACCACAACCTAGATCTCCTGGGCTCAGACAATTCTTCTGCCTCAGCCTCCCAAGTAGCTGAGACTACAGGCACATACTGCCAGTCTCAGCTAATTTTTTTTTTTTTTAAATTTTCTGTAGAGACGAGGTCTCGCTATGTTGCCCAGGCTGGTCTTGAACTCCTGGGCTCAAGCGATCCTCCCACCTTGGCCTCCCAAAGCACTAGGAGTAAAGGCATGAACAAGCAAGAACTGATATTTTTAAAACACCTAACCTACTCCTCTCATTGCATCCGATTTAAAGGGAGGGCTCAGATGTTTCCTGCTGAGGAGGAAGGTGGACGCAATGGAGGTGAGTATGGAGGGCGGTATGAAGGGGTGTGGCTGTTGCAGGGTGCTGGCTTGGGAAAGACAGAGCATAAGTGGAAATCAGGTTGAGTCCTGATTTCAGTGATCATACAGTGGGCCACCAAATACTTCAGAAGGAGGGGTTCTGGTGAAAACGGAAACCACTTCAATGAAACCAGATTTCAGCAGAAAGGCTGAGGTTAGCTTGAGAAGGGTGAAGTTTTACTTTGAAACTAGTGGCTAAGCGTGGTCTCTACACCTGGCCTGGGTATCTTTGAAAATGAAAGAATTATTATCTAGTAGAGCACTGAAATTTGGACACACCTTGCCTAGAAACCCGCATTCCTGAAGTAGGGAGCTTGAAAGGAGGGCAGCTCTCTTTCCCCCAATCTGGGACCAATCCAGGGTGATATGTCATAGTATTGGGCATGCAGACTCTGGAGTCAGCTTCCTGGGCTCGAACCCTGGCTCCTTGCATTTGCAGCTGCATTGCCTTATGCAAGTCACTCAGTCTCTCTGGGGCTCCATTTCTTCTACTGCTGAGTCGGGCTAATGATAGTACCTTCTTCATAGGATCGCTGGGAGGTTGAATTCAGACAACACGTGAAGAACTTAGCACATTGTTGGTTATGTAAGCGTTAGAAGAAGCCAGTCTCGAAAGGGAGAATCTGGAGCCGGGAAACTGGTTGCTGGAGAAGTGGCTGATGCCTGCCAGTCCCGAGTAAGAATTAAAATTAAGGAAAGAGACATCAGCTGGCTGGGGGTCAGGGTGGTGGCTGGGAAATGGTCAGAAGATTGTTAGCAGCTTCATTGCCCAACCCTGCCAGTGGGGCTCAGACTTCCTGTTTTCAGTGTCTCTGAGCCTTGATGCTGGAGCTGCTCAAGTTTGAACAAGACCTTTCTTGGCCCCTGAGGGGGAATGCAGAGACTGAGTGGCACTCCAGCCTGGGCTGGGCCCCTTGGCTTCAAACCATGCCTTTTTTTCCTACCAAGTTTCCACTCCCACCTAACCAATGCTATTCTGAGGTGGGAGAGGAGAGAGGGTTCTCATTCAATTCTATGAAAATTTACTTAGCTTTGTAGCTTTTATGCTTTTACTAAATGCCAATATTATGCGAAAAGACTTGTGAAATCATGAATCGTTTTTAAAACCCCGGCAAGTAGATCGTATTACCTCTTTTTTACAGATGAGGAAACTGAGGCAGAGATGCTAACAAATCATCTTTCCCAAATCACACAGCTAGTATTAGAGATAAGATTCTAGTTCAGACCACCTGCCTCCAAAATCCGTGCTCTAAGCCACCGCATGCTAGATGATGGGGATTAAAACCTGAATACTCTGGGTTCTTGCCCTAGGAATACAGTCTCGAAAGCCTCTGAGCAGGAAACGCAGCAGACCTTGGACCCCTGAACCCCACTCAGAAAACTGGCTTTTCATGCAGAGAATTCATGCTGAGCATGTCTTGAATTTTCTGGGCCCTTCATACATTCTGACCAATTTGTTCCCAAAGGTTCTTAGTTAGTGGTGCAGATAAGAAACACCCGGGCAGCTTTTCTCAAACTATGAGCCTTTGCACCATGTCTACAGATGGAGCACAGATATGTACATATTGTTCAAAGGTTCTCAGGTGATTTGGCTTAGAAACACTGCCAAAACTCATGAACACAATTTGGAAATTCCAACACCTTGGCATCTAACCACAGCTCTCAGCCTGCATTCGACACCCTAGTTCTTCAGAACTTGATGTTTGACTTAAAGTATATGGTCACCCCCCATTAGGCCATCATCCAGACTCTGAACCTCCGGACCTCAGGGACAGCCATGGCTGGTCATGAGCTCTGTCAACACACTGAGAAAACTCAGCACCAGCCTCACACACAGATGATGGGAAATTATGTTTTCTGTTCTCTGAATGCCACAGACTCAAACTGGAGTTTTGGATCAGTCAGGTTCACTCAAACAAAGCGTTCTTCTTGACTGAGGTCAGTTCAAGGACTGTTGGGGGAAGAGTGAAGTGAAAGAGGTGAAGTTAATCCCAAAGATCACTGTGTACAGTAGTACAAAATGTGCACTGCACAAAGGCATAAAGATGAGGAAGCAATTAGGAGCTGAAACACAGCCCAGGACCAAGCAATGGGATCCTGGCTTGGGGCAATTATTTATACTTTATGTGCTGTGGCGGCCCTGCCCTATAGCTTTCCTGACCTCTACCTCCCAAAGCCCCATTAAGCCCAGAGATGCAGCTCCACAAGAAATTCCGACAGCACACCACCTTCATCATTTTCTACTTTTATGCTCCCAGCTCCCTCCCATACAAGCACCAGAAAGAAGCCAAAGTCTTCAGGAAAAAAATCACATTTTATTGATTGTTTTTATTTAAAATTATAAAAATAGATATAAATAAAAATAGCAGAATATAATTATTAAATATTCAGTGTCCAGAAGTGGTCCTCCCCCCGCTCAGTGAGGATTAGATAAACTAGGCCGAAAGGTCAGAAGGGATAACTGGCCGAGAAGGGGACATCTATGTGAAAGTGAAACGGAGGCATTTAGTGCTGGTCACGGGCCATGCCCCAGAACAATACATTCGCAGGCATCATCACGGGGAGGGCCCAAGAGGCCCCCGGAGGGACCCATAACCTCTCCAGACAGACCATTCTGTGTGGCATCAGAGACCACACAGTTTAGGGGAATTTTCAGACTTGCAGCCAGACACCAGCTCTTACACACTCACAGCCCGAACATAAGTGCACACACAAACACACACATACATTTCCTGATGCATTCAGCGCCCTTCCTTCAAGTTATTAGTGTCTCTACTCCCCAAACCGCGGTTCCCACATTGGCCAAGCTCCCTCAACAGCCCTGTCAGCTGTTACACTTCCTAATTGGGAAATTATTCATTTCTCAACAATGGGCTGCATGAATGCCCACTGTTGGGGGAGCTGGCTCTCTTTTCACCCATGCACAGGAGAGCCATTGTTAACTCCTGGAGGCTTTAGTCCAGAAAAAGACAACTGCTGGTCAATGCCTTCCTGAGTCAGGACCACCCCCTCCATCCTGACCAGGGGGGGTCCGAGCGGCCAGCACCCATGCCTGTGCCTGAGGGTAAAGCTCTTGTGGCTCACCCTGGTGGGCTGCACAAGCAAATACATCCTTGCAGAGTCTATCTTCCCCATTCTCTTCCTTATAGCTGATGGAGATGACCCTACTGCAAAAATGACGGTCAGTGAAGGAGTGGATGGTGCCCATTTCCTCCCTCAGTTCCCTGGGGGCCCTCAGAGGGCTAGGCCATTCTCCTCCCCGGTGTGAGCGTGGATCCAGGGCAGGAACCGTGAGACCCTCGTGTAGACGCCTGGCTTGTCCTTCAAGGCACATCCGCGGCCCCAGCTCACAATCCCAGTCAGAGTCAGGCGGTCTCTGATGGAGCAGATGAGGGGCCCTCCTGAGTCTCCCTGGAAAGCAAAAGATACAAAAGTTGAGCCCTGAGAAGTGAGGAGGGGACTTCTGATCCCACCACCCAGTCATGCCTGGCACAGAGGAGAGAGCTTCCTAGAGTCAAAGTCCTTAGTGATTCTCTGTTTCCTACCATATCAAGTTTGTTTGTTTTTGAGTTGGAGTCTCATTCTGTCACCTAGATAGGAGGGCCGTGGCATGATCATGGCTCACAGCAACCTTGAACTCCTGGGCTCAAGAGAGCCTCCCTCCTCAGCCTCCTGAGTATCTGGGACTACAGGTGCACACCACTACACCCAGGTAATTTTTCTTACTTTTTATAGACATGAGGTCTCACTATGTTGCCCAGGCCGGTCTCCAACTCCTGGGCTCAAGCAATCTTCTGGTCTCAGCCTCCCTAAGTGTTTGGATTACTGGCGTGAGCCACCATGCCCAGTCCCATATCAAGTTTAAAATCCTCTGCTTGTCTTTCAAAGCCCTGCCATCTGCCACCATTCTACCACATGCCCAGACCCTACTTCTCCTCATTCTGGAATATGACAGGCTCTTTCTCAGGTTTATATCTTTAAACTGAAACACCTCCTTTCTTCCCTCTGCCTCCTTAAATCCCTATCAAGTCAGTCTCTTTAAAGCTTCCTCTCCCTGACCATCTAGTCGACACTCACCTCCCTCTCCTAAATATCTGATCATTTACAGTTCACAACGCACCCTGAGCACTGAGTTATACTGTCTTCTACTGTCTCTTCTTTCTATGATCTTACCCTCCCCTCACCCCACTACCCCTTACCTGAAGTGCTTATATAGCCAGGCTCATTACAATGTTTGGTATACACATAAGGATTGTTTTAACCCCCAGGGACCCCAGCTCCTGATTCTGGCTTCTTGGGGCTTTGGCTGGAGACAGACTCCCCAAAGTGGGCAAGGGACAGGCCCTGGAGTTCTGGGGAGGTCTGGGGGTGATGGAGAGAGATGCTTGGAGCTCTCACCTGGCAGGAGTCTGTTTCCCACTGTGGGTCAGCAGCACATAGCATTTTGGTGGTGACTTCAGAGCCATAGTAGTGGGGCTGCTGACATTCCCTGTGGGAAACCAGCTTCACAACAGTCATTTTCAGCTGCTCTGGATAGAGATAGTCAGCTAGGTGGAGGAAACAGAGAGGAGTTTACGTTAAGGTGTGTCTGTCCACTGGAACTTTGCCAGAGAGAGGAACCAAAAAGTGTTTCTGCCAGTTTATTAGAGATATGTGCACCCAAATCTGGTCCTTTACCCCCACCTACAGCTTTCTTCCCCCCATTTATTTACCTTTGTGGTCCATCCCTCCCTAAGCAATGCTCCTCACTCCACCCCTGGACCCATCAGCCGCCTCCAAAGTGCTCCCATCTCTTACTCTATGACCTTCCCTTGATCATGCTGGGCTCATTTTCAGGTCCCAACACTCCCCCAAGACTCCTTCAGTCAGTTACTTACTGGAATTCTCTTTTCCGAAGCCAGTGATCTCACAGCTTGAGCCAAAATGGGCATCGTCATACTTTGGGGGCAGGCAGATGGTCTGTATGGTCCGAGATGGCTGAGCACACTGGCCCTCAGTGGAACGGATCTTCAGCAAGGCTGGGGGAGGAGAGAGAGCAAGAGAGGAAGGATCACCACCTAGTCAGGTGGTCCCCATCTCTCCTTTCTGAATGCTGAGGGAGTAGTTATGTCTCTCTCTAGGTCAGTTAGGGTCAGAGGTGATCCAGGCAGGGCTGCTGGTAGCTTGTCACCAGGAAGCCTCCCCTGCCCCAGGCCCCAAGGACTTTGTCCCAGCTGTTAACAAGTACTTGGACAGTCAGGGATGCTGCATACAGCTGTACAGACTGTTTCCTGAAAAAAGCTCCTGCTGAAGTAGCTGGGCTGAAATCCAGTCCAAAGCTCTGTTCCCCAGGTTCTATAAACTAGTGCAGACAGGCGTTGCATCCAACAGAGGAAAGGGCGCCTTTTTCTAATTCCTATAAACAGGGCATTCCCAGCCCCAGCCATATGCCCACAGGCTGTTTCCACTCAGAAGAGGCTACTTATTTAGAAAATTTAAGGTCTCCACAGAAAAGAACCAGGCCCCTCATATTTCACCCTGAACTCTTGCCTGCCATTCCCCTTGTTGTGTAAATAAAGTCTTCAAGTCCTCTCCCTTCATGGTCTCTCCTTGGGCCCCTCGTTCCCCAAGCCATTGTGACCATGGCAGTTGAGGGTTTTCCCCTCACCAATATCGTTGTGGTGAGCAAGCGTGTCAGCACTATAGTCCTCATGGAGGATGAGCTTTTCCACCTCAAACTTCATCTCCCCAGGAGTATTGGAGTTAAGCTTTGACCGGCCCAGGTAGACAATGTAGTCCTCCTTTTGTTGGTAATGACTGTGGGAGAAGAAACCTGTTAGACAACCTGATCTCATGAAATCCTGTCACTTCTTCCTTCCCACCCTAGAGGTCTCAGAGCATGACTTTTCCCAAGGCCATGGGCTCCATGGAGAGGGGCTGCTGAGGGAGAATTGAGGCAGGAGCCTTTTCTGGGAAGGAAAAAGGGATGTCTTTGGGGTGGGGCTGGAGGCGGTCGGAGAGAAGAGACAGAGGGACATACATGAAGCAGTGTGTGGCGCTGACCACCCAGCAAGGGTTGATGAGGCTGCCTCCGCACACGTAGGTGACAGAGCCTCCCCGGTGCCTCCTGTAGATGGCTGCAAACCACGGCTGGTTCTCGATGGTGGTGAATTCACCCCCAACAATCTTAAATCGGGGCATGAGAGCCTTCTGGCCACATTGAAACTCTGATTTTTCTGGAGGAGAGGGGGGCCTTTTTCCTGGAGAAGAAAGAGAGGGATGTCTTGGAGAGGCAGGTAGGAGAAAGTGTCCTTCTCAGGCAACACCCCTCCTTATCCCTCCGGTGATAGAATAATGAGACTTGTGCATTTGTCCCCTTCTAACTGTCATAAGCAGGTCAGTGACACTCACCGACGGAGCAGTCTTGCACCATGCACTCTTGGACAAGTTGCATTAGGCCAACCTGCACGTAGCACCAGGGCCGATTCAAATTGTCTGGGTTCCTGCAACACAGAGGGGTAGGAGATGTCATTCTGACCCAGAATGGTTTCCCTGCATTCTTGCCTCCAGGGAAGATTCAACAGGAGGCCTTGCTTCTCTCATGCTATATGGCCAGCCCTCTGGGAGCAGAAGGGGACAGTAAGGAGGGTTTCTGTGAGGCCAGGGCCCTTGGTCCTTGCTGCCCCCAACTCACCTGCAGTAATTGTGCTTCCCCAGGCCCAGCTGAAGAGCATCAGGTCTGTGGGCATGGTATGTTTTCAGAAGGACAGCAGCAGAGTTCCAGGCTAGGCAGGGCCGGCCCTTGGTGTCAGTATTGGCCTTTCCTCGATAATAATGACCATTCCCTCGATAGCAGGTTTTTGAAGTATCTACAGAAGGGCGTGAAGGTGAGAGACCATTAAAAAGAGAAGAAAGGGCAACCACCTCGGGTCCCCTCTCACTGTGGGAGCTTTTCTGTCCTCTCAATAAATCCTGATTTAAAATAGAGAGAGAGAGAGAGAAGAAAGTTCATATCAGCATTTTAGAGATGACATAGTTTCAGGCCTGGCAGAAGACACTAGAAAGAGTCTCCTTCCATCCCCACCCCACATTTGTACAGTCATTGCTTCATCAGTTTGTGTGTGTGTGTGTGTGTGTGTGTGTGTGTGTGTGGTTGTGTATATCACAGAGGGATGGTGTCACCTAACCCAACTCCAGCCCCTAACTCCCACCTGTTCTTGCATCCCACCCATCTCACCCTGCCCTGAAGTCTCTGGTGCCTCCTCCATCCCAGCTAGAGTCAGGATCCCCATACCTATTTCACAGTGCTCCCCTTGGAATTTCTTCGGGCACTTGCACCACCGAATGTTGGAGAAGTGCTTGTAGATTACACATGTTCCTCCATTCAGGCAACCACAGTTCGCTGGGGAGCAAAAAGGTGGGGTAGGCAAGGGTCAGGGGTAAGAGGCAGGGGGGAGCCAGCCCTGCAGCAGGGACAGGGAGGGGCTGCCCCCCTCCCCAGGCTTTTCCAAGATGTCTATGCGGCCAACTATTGTGCAAGGGGTGGGTGGATACTCACATGCATCAGACACTCCGTGATGATCCTGGCTGCCCTGGAACAGATCAAGGAGGGAGGGGTCACCAAAGTCCTGTGCTCCTGGGACTCTAGGGTGAGTCCCGGCCCCCATCCCGAAACCCACTCTTCCTTCCAGCTCCCTCTCTCCTCACTCTGTTCAGAGTGTCCAGACCTCAAACGGAAGAGCGTGGGTTTCCAGCAGGGAGAAATGGATTGACTCAAGCAAGCTTCACATCCCAGGCGCCCTCAGGCGGGGGCAGTCCCTGCAAAACGCTTCTCCCTCCTGAGTGCCCACCCCGCGGTTCTCAAGGCCCCCGCTGCCAACCTGTCCTATTTCCCCGGGAGAGTCTAGCCCCGCTGCCGATGGAATCCCTGCGCAGACCCTCCCTTCCCCTGGTGCCGTTCAGCGGCTCCTGCGAACCCCCTCCTGCGACCTAAGACACAGCCGGGAAGCCACTCACTTCGGAGTCGCTCACGACCAGGACGCAGAGGAGCAGGCACGCCAGCAGGACTCTCATGGTGGTGAGGCTGGGACTCTGCAAGGGAAGGAGAAGTCAGGGCTGCTAAGAAGCCGGGGGGGGGGAGTGCGAAGGCAGGCCGA